AACCTCAGATTCCAGGATGCTCCATCTTAGAGAACACAGCTTCTCCTGATCTTCATGGTTCTAGGCCATGAGAGATTTGGACTTTGTAAGTCCATCTGCAGAAACAGTCTTCAAGTCTTGTGAGGTTAGTACATTCCTTCGCACATTTGGAAATGCTTGTTTTTCATCTGCTTTTTTGTTGTTTTGGATCCCAACTCTCCACAAATCGTATTTATTTTCTGAAAGGCCTGCAATTCTGTCTCTAAAATGTGCGTAGTCACAGAGGTCCCTTTTTGCTAAAGATTAAGGTTGAAGTTTTAAGAACCACCCAAGACATGTAACCAAAGGAAATTACTGTACTACAGAATAAAACGTAGTTCGGCTCTGTGAAGAAGTTGAGAGAGGGAGAAGATCCAGTAGTTGTGTAAGGGTGCAACTCACAAGTGTGCAAAACAGAAAATTAAAAAAAGGCACCTTAAAAAGTGTTTACTAGAAACTGTAAGAGAGAGGAGGATAATACACCTCTGTACATTGCACATCACTTCCATTAAGCAGGAGGAAGAATGATTTATTCCCATTCTCATGCCAAGCAGCACAAATGCAGAGAGTGAGTCTTCCACCTTCCTGAAGAGTTTCGGTGCCAAACAATGGTACCCAAAGCAGAGACCCACTGAAAAGTCAAAGGCAAATGATCACACCAAGACTGGACCCAGTCCCTACCTAGAGCGGATATCAAATCTGTGATTGTGAGGACACATCAGCATTCTTTTTCCCCAACTGATTCAGCAGACCAGAAGGGAAATGCTTTGAGGGCTGGAGGGAAGAATTGTTCACATGGAAATTACTGACAAAGACAAAAAAAAATCCACAGAATGTTCAGTCTGTAAAGAAACAAGAAAAAGACCAGTTCTCCCATAGATGGTGAACTAGGAGAGCAAGCTACTCCTTCCTCCTTTGCCTGGTAGGATTAAGCTTGCTACAAGCAGATGGAGAGAACTAGACTTGTTCCTCCAGTGGCAACAACTAGTTACAACTGCAGGAAAAATATCTTGATAAATTCTGCTGTGGACACTGCCTGTGGCAGCTCTGTGGGAGGGAAATCTCTGGTCAGTGGTGGGGGTGGCTGCAAGGGGAGACAGTAGACTATCTAACCAAGGCCTTCAATCACCCACTCAAAGACCTCTCCTATCTTTACAGGAAGGAAAATACAAATAAAAGAATCAGGCAGCCCTCACTGGTCGTTTTGGGTTTTTTGGGTGGTGTTTTTTCCCCCCAAAAGCAGTATATCGAGGAATGTTTTCTTACTTGGCAATCCAACATTTTTCACCACACTAAATCCAGGCACAGACATTTTCCTGAGCTTTCAGATAGCAAGTCTGAGATTCACACTGTGTGAGGGGATTTCTTTTCCCTCTGCTGAGATTATCCTATGACTACCAGAAATCCTCAGAAATCCCCAGGTACCAGACAGCCAACGGCACCATGCTCAGAGCTGTAACATCCTCCCTGCTGACAGTTGTGCCTTGCTTCAGCAGCAGCTCAAATACTAATCCTTGGAACAGCAACTGACAACAGTATGTGTAGAGCAGTTCACTGAGGTCTTCAACTTCTTCCAGAAGGATCACGCCAAGCCCTAATCCCCTTCCTGGCTTTGGCCCAGGACTTAACCTAGCATTTGAATGCCTACGAGGTCCCTGAGAAGAGCTTAGCTCCTGAAACTTCACATGCCTTCTGAGCAGGGTCTCATAAGAAAGAATGCTTCTCCTCAAAACTGTGTTTTCTCCTCCTGCCCCAGGGACTGTTCAAATGGCAAGATCATACATCCTTTTTAAAGTGGAATAGCAGTCAGGCAGAGCTTTCTTCTTGGGTTCAACCACTAACAGGATGGAAAATGTTCCTGAATACTATGAAACAAACATTGGCAGGAAGTGGAAAGTGGTTTCTATGCATGAAATGGACAGTTCAAGAAGAAAAGAAATATTCTCCATTTGCAGTCTTTTCCACAACAGCAGGGTTTTCCTTTTGTGACTGTATTTTTCTCCCATTACTTATTTAATTTGCTGGAAATGAACATGTCACTTGCTCACCACCTGGAGGGAAAAGCAGTTGTGCTGCTAGGATGAAAGGCTCCACAGATACGGCAGGAGGATTAGGACCTGCAATGTGTTTCTAAGGAAGAGAAGGCCATCGTGCACTCATGAAATTTAGTCTTTCTGTGAAAATAGCCACTTAACCTGAGAAGGATCACAGGTCTCCTCCTCCAAGCTGCCCCTAGTCAGGCTCAGCTCTCCACCAGAGAGCTCAGAGCTAGTAGGCTAGAACACAGAACAGGTCAAACACACAACAGGAGGATCCTGATAAATCCTGTAAGAGGGATGTGGCAACCAGCCTGGGGAGTATGTAACAAGACCAGCCAAAAGTCTTTCCATGCATCCATCAGAAGGAAAGTGATCTGCCTCAGGTCAATATACTCCAATACCATGTATTGTTAGGTATGTCAGATGCCAAGAACACACAGACCTAGCAAGAATTCCTCTTTACTGGAGTAACTGCATACAGGAATGGAAGGCAGGACACTGCAGAAGCATCTACATTAGCATCCTAGTTCAGATTAAAAGGGTAAGATTTTGAAGTAAGCTTTGAATTTACCTCCACATACGCTTTGAATCATGTCATGAAGCAGCGTCAAACCACAAAAACAGTATTCCTCACAAAGGAGCTGGAAGATGCATTCCCAGAGCACTCCTGACGCACTGCTGCCTCCGGTGGGCATTCAGTCCACAGGAACAGACCACAGCACATCTGAAGTGAAAGAAAAACCCTAGCCTAAAGTGTGTGTAGCACCAACTACTTCATTGTAAAAAGATTTGCTTGTCTACAGTATTTTCTAATACAGAAGTTGTCAGGAAAACAATCTGATCCCACGGGTACCCTCTGCATATCTCTTACCAGAGATACCTCTAGCCTTTGAAGTGAGAGAAAGCAAGAAATGGAAATGAAAGCCACTTAATCTTGAAGTCAAATTTGGCCTCCACGTAGCTCTGCCATCAGCATTAAGGATAGGAAAAGAATTATCTCCTACTTCAATTAACAATGCAAGCCTACTAGTTAAAACAACTATTTGTCCTTCAATCTCCCAAGGGGACACTCCTGTCATCTATAGCTGCTCCAAATGATTACAGCTGTGTTCTCTAATGCCAGAGTCCAACAGAAGGCTTAGTTATGGCTTTGTCTTTTCTTACATAAAAGGATAGCATCAACAATTACAGCAAATAAAAGTGACTTAGAAAAAAAAACCAAAACCCACAGAATTCTTGAACAATTCACACTACACTTGATACAAGCCTCCAGCTGAGTTAAACTTCCACCACCAACTGATTAGCAACTGTATGATGACCAGAGCTGTTTGATGGACAAAGGTGGTGCACTGGCCATTCAGCCAGGTTTAAGCCTGAATAGCTCCTCCCAGAAGCATTCTTTACAGATGTGGATGACAAGACACCGCACTACCTCTCCTACCAGTCAAGGCTTGTTTTGATCCCAGAGACAGAGAAAGCTCCCCACAGTTTCCAGGTCAACATACCTGTTCTCAGCTTTCATTCTTTTTAGTACAACTATAATGCATGCAGAAAAACCACAACTCAGTAGTACACCTGCTGACTTAAAATCCTTCCATAGAGCATTCGCACAAGCTGTTATGTATGGGTAACTATGTTACCTGACTGTAAAAGCCATTTTCAGTAGCAGTATTTTTGTAATCTACCTGAAAATTTATAGGACGATGAGGAAATTCACACGTAAGGTGTCTTGAGTAGAGACAACAACTGGTTTCATGATGGTCTTTCCCTCACCCTGTGCTTCAGGAGGAGTTCTAAGATGCCAAATCCTATAGAAGTGCAAAGGAAGAAACAAGACCTACTTGCAGCTACTGACTGCAGTCTATGGAAGAGTCCGTCCATTTGTAAGCCGTGCCTTCAAGGCAAAGTCAGACTTACAATTCATGCAAGTGAACTGGTTTAGATGAAGCAACTACAAAGTACCACCTCATTTCTAAGAGCAAACCCATTCATAGACCAACCCCAAACTGCACTAGTCCAACTCTTGGAAGGACAGCTATTCAAGACCAAATAGCTAGGCCCCTTCACAACAGGCTGAGAGCAGCCGATCAGAGTACAGCACAAGTTCTCTCACCTCCAGACTTAAATGGATTGCTCTGCATGAGTTCTCCAAGATGACCATAGCATCAAACTGACGACATTCTTGGTTTCCCTCCCTTCTGCTTGTTCCCAAAATACTCTCCCACACAAGGACTTAATGCCTTTAGATGGTATCACACGACAGGTCTGGTTTTAATTATTGTACCAAAAGTGTCCCAACTAGGCAGAGCTCCTGAATAACACATGATTTTTCATTAACACACTATCATGGCCTGCCCTGTTTATCCTGGCAGTATATAAATCCTGCTTTAAAAAAAAAAGCAATTTACATTTAAGACATTGTCTTCTCCTACCTCTCCTTTAAAGCCTCATTGCCTAAGTCAAGTAAAAGGGCTGAAAAGCATGTGGTGTCCTGAGTAAGGACGTTTCGCAGCCCACTGCCAGCAGGTCAGAAATTGAGCTCCAGGTATAGAGTGTCTTCTGTTTCCAGAAGAGGAAAAACTAAAACCCAACCAAATCATGTTTTCATAAAAAGGAAAATACAGAAGTCTCCCTAGAAAAACTTTAGTGAAAAAAATAGCCTAAGTTTCCAAAACACTTTTGTGCTAGAGACGCCAAGACCTCTTTGCAATTGTATCTAAGTATACCTTGTGGCCATTTCTACGAGATAAGCTGTGGGTATATTTTGCCAAGGTTAAAGTTAAGTGCTTCCATGAAAAGCTTATACAAATGTGTACATAAACTAATAAATACAGCATCTATAGAAGTCCACATAACCTGATTTGTCATTGTGTACTGACCTTATTTCAATTCAGTTTTCCTCATTCATGAGTGAGAAAGCAGCAGTATGAAAGGATTCAGATGTTTCAGTTTTTTATTGTAAATCATTCGCCCCTGCAATGTTTCATAACTGTTTTAACTAAGGCAAATTGAAGAATGTTTACATTAACATTACTTTCATTAGCTGTAGCATGATATACAAATGGTCACATAAGCTTCAAATATGCAGCCTCATTTTATCGTCGTCCAGCTCTATTCTTCAATGCTTTCAAAGTTTTCCTCATGATTGGTGCAATTTCTTCAGTAACAACAAAAAGAAGAGACCAGTTAGGATTACAGCAGTGACTTAAAATGGTATTAGCATAATATTAAGTATATATTAGTAGACTGCAAGTTAAAACAATTATCTTGATAATCTTAGGAAGTTCTATTTACTTTTGATAGGCTTCTTTCCATCTGGAGTCATTACGCTTGAGCTAGAGCTTCCACTGTTGCCAGTAGGGATTGGATTTGATGATGTGTTATTTCTGTCTCTGCTTTCTGGAATCCTTGTTCTTTTAAAACAAGGAAATAAGAAAGTTAGCTTTTGATATGAAACTACCATTTCCTCTCACTCATTTTGGAGAAAAAAAAAATCATCACAGACATTTAAGACTTTACACCCCAAAGACAGTATTTTAACAAGTCCGTTCTGCAGTACATTTAAAAGTTATAGGATAATGCAGTTAGAAGGGACCTCAGGTGGTCATCTAGTCCATTTCCATTCTTGCACAAATTTTCCATTTATTAGATTTGATGCATCTTATTTGTCTTTAAAATTAAATGATCAGAATTTGTGAGAGATCAAGATGTTTAGCAATACCATTGTGATCCATAATCCCTGTGTTCTACTTTGCTCTTTGTGTTTGTTTTCCTCTTTGAACACAGCTGAACTGCTAACTAGCTCTCCGCCAGAAAACGAGGGCAAATTTACACAAGTTTTTTTTGTTTGTTTTTTTAAAGGAGGATCTCTAGGAAAAGGCACAATAATTAACCCTAAATATTAGGTTGGGATCCTCAATCAACAGGACAAGGATGAGGCAGTCACAGATACAGAGACGATGGCTACTGCTAAAGACAGTTAAACCAACACCACACTGAAGTGTCAGCATGATGTCACCAATCTGGGCAGCCTTGTACACCTCAGAGCCAGTCACTGATGTCTGCTGCCAGTTATCATATACCACTGCACACTGAACTGCAAACAGCAGCCTGTTAGGGATCTGCACATCTGTATAGGACCTTTTTAGCTCCTGCAAAACCAGCTTCTTCAGTGAAAATTTCAGCTGTACAAATTCTACAACCTGCAAAACCGACAGGTTTTTAGAGGACATGGTGAAAGCAATGAAGTTAATCTCATTGTGCCTAAACAAACTCGTTTCTCAAGAGGGCAAAGCAACAACTCTCTCACAGCTTCTTTCACACAACAGCAGTTCTTCCTAATTTATCACGCCTGAGGGGGGGAAAAAAAAAAACCAAACCACAAACATGCAGGGGTTTGAGTACATCATTCAGTTACCAGTCCAGAGATTACCGGAGCAGAAAGGACATTTACACTGCTGTACTTTAAGCACCTAAACTGGAAGGCTGGTCTGTCACAATGTAGATACAACCTCCCACAGGGCAACTGAAAGCAAAAGCCTAACTCGACTGCCTTGGTGGGGGACTATCTTCACTGAAAACAGCAACAGTATGGAAAGAAGCTTCCTAATTTAATCAGCTGAAGGTGCAGCTATAAAAACATTGTATCTGGCATAAAAGCCGATTTTAAGATGTTCCTATATCCAGGATATCATTCCTGCCCCATACCACCACCACCTTGAGCACTAAGTTGAGGCTGCTTGACTAAGTCAAGCTCCTGAAATTCACAGAAAACATACTCTTCCATGGTTTGGTAAGGTTTTTTTTCTCCCCAGATAAACCCAGGTCAGTTCAGTCATTTAGTTCATGTGCCCAAGACCGAACAGTTACTCAGCACAACTGCAGGCACTGCAGCATCAGAACAGAAACAACTTAAAATGACTCTCCTGACATGTTCAGCTATACTAAGTCATCTTGCATCACATTTTCAACAGCTTAAGTTTTATCCTACCTGTTCCCAGCTATCTGTCACTATCCACGCACATACTTGTCAACCTGCATAACTGTTCCCCAATTCAGATTAACAAAAAATGTTCCACCTGCCGCCTCCCCAAAGGGATAATTTTGAGAGAGCAAGTTGCAGAGCAGTTATACCAATATGGGAACAACCACAGGCAACGGGGACAAGGGAGGGCACCATGCTCACCAGCAGCCACAGCACAGTGAGTGACCACGGCTTAAGGTACCCACGTTCAGGCAGTATGAATACTCTCCATAGCTTTTATGGTCCAGCTGCTGGCATGTGGACTCATCAACCCATGGGGTGCTTCCGAATCAAACTGCTGATTTTTCTTTCAGAAAAGAACAGATATTAAGACAGTGAAAACCAGCAGTCTGTCTCCACATAGTTGAGAAAGGAAGAAGAGGTAGAAGCTGGTGCTACAGCTGGTTTATCTCCCTGTTGCAGCCATCCTCTTGGGTACAAGAGAGTTCATTAGGCTGGCAGGAACAGTAGGACAAACATCACATCTCAGCTTTGGTTCTCATGGCTGTTGAACTACTCTGAACTAAGAGGTCAAAGAAAACTTGGCTTTGTCTGTAGAAAGGCAACATTTGAGGAACCCCAGTTTTCTGTTCCTCCAGTGATCAATGTTGGCTACTGCTACAGACTGACTGTTCCAGACACTCCTTTAAAAGCTGCCAAAGCAGAAACCCACAATCAAGAGTATTAAAAGCTGCTGAGATTCACTCTGGTCAGCTATATCACTCTGGACAGCTGACTGGGATTTTATGAAAGCAGGAGAACGTGTGAGGCTACTAGGCAGGTTTATAAACACGAAACAGCAACACTGGAATCTCCTCAGGATGTCAAGCGGCATTAGTGTAATCTGGAGAAAAACAACAGCATCCACTCACTCTCCAGCTAGGAGGGTGAATTCATCACTGGCACTTTGGAGAAGTGTGCGATGACAATGCATACACGGCAGAGGAGCACGCAAGACTTAAAAGGCAAGTTAGTTTCCAGCCACTCGCTGCTTAAAAAAGGAAAGTAAATAGAGAGCTATTTATAACGTCAAAAATATTTTGCCAGCAAACTTTTGTACTGACAAAGACATCTAAACTCAAATTAAATGCGTAGTACAGAACACTTACTTGCACTTCTCCACTGGATGAAGTTGGGCGACAGGTCCTGCTGTCCCGTGGATTTCTTGCTGTCGGCGAATGTTCCTGGGTGGTTTTGCTGCACTGGTCACGTAAGCCATTTTTACTTGCCGGCCTAATACAGCAGCAAGAAGCAGAGGATATGTGACTTTTTTCCCCCCCTTTATGTTCAAAACTCAGTTGATAATATGGTTGTGTGGCAATTTCTAGGTTTAAATTGGGAAAAAAAAATAATTCAGAAAAGCAGAACCTGGTACCAAAGTAGTAACTGAACCATGGTAAGTCATATAGACTACATCCAGCATTTCTTCGTATTAACTTTGGTATTTGTAATTACATTTGTACTCTTTGCATTGTTGCTTAGAATCCTCAGTCTAACTAGTAAGGTAAGATTTGTCTACTGTATGCCGCATGTATTATGCATTGATGTATTGCATTAATGCATGTATTTACTTTTTGAGCAACTTGTAATAAAAGGAACAGCATTCTTTCTTGATGTCTTCTCCTAGAGAATACAGCATTAGTGCTCAGTACAAGTAAATCACTAAACCCTACATAGTAAGTGCCAAGAATAACAGAAGAGACTGGGTTTTTTTAAGTGGAAAAGTTAACCACAGATTTTACCTTTTGGTTTCTCAGACTGAGCTGAAAGAATATTTTTTGTAAGCATCTTCAGTTTTTCTTCTCTCTGATTGAACAGTCTCAAGTACATTTCACGCCAAGACTCATATTCCAGGAGGCTCTCATTTTTAAAATCTCTCTGGCAGTGTTTCTTCCACAAGTGGTCAGATTCTTCTGTAAACATCTAGTTTCAACACAAGATTATCTTAAATCCAAGATTTAAAAATAACATTTTCAAGAGCACCTGTTAGCTGAGCCTGTAGACAAAGCCCAATCCCCCAGTAGAGAAAGGTGCAGAACAAATCCCACCACACATGCTCTCACAGGTAATCCCAACACGGAGTGTGGCAATACCATGCAGATATGCTGATTCCAGCCTAGAAATCACATGCTTCAAATAGCAGAGCTCTGTATTTGAGTTAATGAGTCATGCTTACAGGCTAGACTTGTGCTTCCAACACAGGCTTAGGCCACACCAGCTCTCAACTTCAGGCATACAGAGAGGTGGCCAACTTGCACTACAAAATACTACACACTCAGAATCTCAACGTCCAAATGCATCATGGAGCTGGCCTTAACGGTCTAAATAAGAAGTCTACCACACACATTAAATCTCACCCCAGATACTTCCCCATTGGTATGCTTTGCAGCCTTAACAGTTTGTAACTTGAAAACAGTTGGTACTATTACAACTCTCCCAGCTATTTCAGTGCTAAATACCATGGTCTTTTTCTTTTTTTTTTTTGTTCTTCTATTTAGAAACAGAACTACTTTTCTCCCCAGACTGGCTTTCACTAAGACATCAGTAATAATTCTCCCAAATGCTTTAAATCCTGACACTTGAAAAAGGGAGGCTTGATAATGACAGCTGAATTCAAAGAAATAAGTATGCAAGACAGAAAACCAGTGTAGCCCATGGAGAATCTTTATCAAAAAGGGTGCAAGGAAGGCAGAAACAGATGCCTTGTCCTCTATGGTTCCCTGAATTTAACAACACAGAATTTACCGGATTACATTCCTCTATTCGAAACAACTGCTCTGGTGTGCAACGTGTTAGCACAGGCTCAAGAATTTCAAAGGGCACACCTCCTACTTCATGTAGAGCTACAAAAGAGGACAGTACTTTCAGTATCTCGTTTATTTTACTCAGTGGGTAACACCACTCAAACAGTTTAAAAATAAAAATACAAGTTAATTTTAGCAAGCACTAACAGAACACATGTTTTGAAGTCAGGCTATGAGAATATTTATAAATCAGCAGTTCCATACTAACTGGCAGTTATATTTGAGGATGGAGAAAGCATCTTTGAATAGCTACTGCCCCATCTTTTCCGATGTGCATCACTCCCCTCTCTGCCTACGCCAGGGAATAAATAATTTCTTGATCACTCATTCTAATTTATGTAAACAGACATCTTGGAAGGAAAAAAAAAAATCAGCAGGCTTTTTGGCTGATAATTTATAGGACATTATATTTTAACTAAAATTGGAACTTTAAAAAAAGATAAGCTTTCAAAACAAAACTACATTTTAGCACAGCCCTAAATCCATTCTTTTGAGTGCCTTTCAACCTGCTCTGAGTCACTGTTTGTAGGGAGGGGCGTTATCTTTTAGTAGGCCAGTTGTTGGCATGGACAAAAAAAACTGATACACTTTCAGGCACAGCCTGCTACAAATCCCTTAAAGTACTCACAGTCAATATTATTTTGAAGCACTCGGATGCACTGTTCATAAAGCGTAAGCATCTTTGAAAGACAAACTGTTTTAGAGCCGGAGTAAACTTGCATTTTAGAGTTCAGTCTCCGTCCTGTGAATTGAACTGTCTCACTGACTTGCCGGGTTGCTTCTACAACAGGTGCTAGGGAAGCTGCAAACAAAATATCAGGCAGGGTTTCTTTTACCTCCTGACGTTTTACAATGCTTTAAACAGTCAGCTTTGAGAGAAATGTAGCTGGTAGGACACATGAATATTCATTTTTCTTGAAACACAAAGTTACTGCATTACAGTTTGGGGCCCTGACACATATTGTACATTAAAGAAGTCCATTCATCATCATCTAACACCAAGACAGCATGTGCATTGCAAGTGAGCTGCACCAACTCAAACCAGCCTTACATTATTTAGCTCAGGTCTACATGTGCTGTATTCACATCTAGATTACTCTGTTACCAGTCTACAGCACATTATTGATCTTCCCGAGTTACCCTAGAGAAGCCAGAAGCTGCAATAGCAGTGATGTTCCAATACCAGAGTGATATGAAACCACTGAAACCTCAAGAGCTGCCAGGGGAACCACTGGCACTTTGTGTCACCTACCTGAAGAGATGCTAGCAAGTTCCTATGCCGAAGCTACACCCAGTGCTTCCTATATTTGTTTTACCTAAGACAATTTTGACTAAGGCTTTGCCTGCTATAAGGTATAGACAGGAGTAAAGATAAATGGAGCCTGTAGAACTACCACCTGATCTATGCCTTCACTACATCTGTGGTAACCTTCCACAGTATGTCTTTATTCAACAAGCCATAATAGGGAAGCCTTTATAACTCCCATCAGCTTCAACATGATTTCTACAGATGAGAAAGTGAAGGTGAGGCATTTCTTCGCCATGGACAGATGAGCTAATATAGTTTATTAGGAAAGGGGATAAAGACATCTCTGCATAGAGCTGTAAAAACCTGCACTGTTTCACATTTATCAGCCTTGCGTACTACTTACCTTTAAAGTCTGCAGCATATGGGGGAGATGAGATTGAGATGCCTGTCAGAAATTTAGGCAGTGGAGTATTAAGAAGATCTTGGAGGGATGTCACCTTGGCCTGTGCACAGTCAAGGAAACATTGCTTCAACACTACAAATTTGGGTTTACTGAGGCTTAAAATAAGCTACGAAAACAACCCTTAAGCAAACTCCAAAGGTAACTAGGATAACTAGAATTATTGCTTTTCTGCACTAAAATTTACTCACTGGATTACTTTTCAGCATATCCTTTCATACTCTACTTACCAAGACTACATCACAAAAGGAACTTAGTGGGATATCTGCAATCAGTGCATAAAAAGACATTAAAGAACAGAGCAGCTGTGTTCAGCTAACAGGCTTTCAGATAAATGGCTACTGAGGTTAAAGGCGTGCAGTGAATGAGACAAAACTGCAAGATGACAAAACCACAATTAAGTGTTTAAAGGCAAACTAAATGCCATCCTGAAAGACAAGAAACAGCTTTATATCTGGTCCTATCAAGTCTCCTAGACTGTGCTGGATAAGTCATTTAGCCTAAAATTTTCAGAGATAACCCCTTAAAAAGGGATTTAAAGATGCTGCAGTCTGGTAAGTATAGATGTAAGTCCCTACAAATGCCTGGCATTATGTGCAACATCTAAATTGGGTCTTAGGTGTCCTCCAATTGTAAGCCAGGCACTTACAGCCCAAAACTTGCATGTATCTTTAATAACTTTTCACAACTGCTTGAACATCCAAGACTTTTCCTTAAACAGTTTATGCTAGAGTATCATACACAAGCCTCTACATTAGTATTTCTCCACTTAGGAGAGATTGCAGAACTTCCACAATACATAAAGCCTGGAGCTTTCACATCACAGTAAAGATAAAAGACTGAAGAGACCTCCAATTCCCAGTGCGCAAAAGGGCTTCATTTAAAAGGTCTAATTAATACACATGTTTAGACCCACCTTGGCTTAGAGGAGCTACTTAAGCTTCTTCAAGGGACTAGGATAGTTCACATTACGAACACGTATAAGCTATTTTTATATGCAATACTGTGGTTTACTTCAATGCATTAAAAGAAGTAAGTTCAGTTCCACTGCAGACCTTAACATTGACTATTAAAGAACCATAGCATCTGCCAAAATGACTGTGCTATACACAAACAGCTGCTACAGTCACAAGTTAGGCTGGTTAAGAATGGAAGAAGGGGACATCTTTCCAAAGGTAAGGACCTTTACTTTGCAGGTAAAAAGCAGATTAGCTGATACGGATCAAAAACATACAGGAAATCATCCTAAAATACAAGACAAGTCAATTGTAAACTGCCAGTATGCAAGAAACCATCTTTTTTTTTGCCCCAATTATTGTAATTATTGGCAATTCCAATGCAGCTGATATGTCGGAGCCTTGCAATCTGTTGCTTAAAATAAATACAGCTGAATTTCACTGAAAATAAGAGACAAGAGCACGTATTCATCTGCAGTTTATTTGCTATTATCTCAACCATGCAGTGGTTTACCTTTTTATTGGGAGTTTCTGACTGATCATCCTCACAGTTTTTTACACCTTCCTCTCCCTTCTTTGCATGAGAAAATTTGGAAGTAGGACAAGCCTTCCTTTTTCTTTTTTTGGTAACCTGATCATAATTAAGATAAGATTCAAAAGACATAGTAGGGGGCTCAAATTCCTCATCACTAGGTAATTCGGCTTTGCTTTTTATGACAAGTTTTTGTTTTAGTTTCTTCACATTCTTAGGATTTCTCTGTTTGGAAGCATCCTTACTAGGCTTTTCCTTCAGAGGTGATAAATCTTTATTGGCTACAGAGGAACACTGGTTTTCTGAAACTTTCTTGCTGTCTGTGGAGGTTGTCTCTTTGAAGTCACTTTCTTTAGCTTGAAGATTGGTACCCTGGGAAGCATGCTTAGAACCACTGCTACTACATTCTTTATTATCACATCCTTTTTGAGACTCAGAATCTCTACTTTGGTGGGTCTCTTCACTACAAGTACGCTGCTTATTCAGCTTTTTAGAAATGGGAGCGCTATTGGAACTTCTGGAGGCCAGTACAGATGCTTTGGACTTCTCTGAAGACTTAATCTCCTTGGAAACGGAAGATTGTGTCTCATCTTTTTCTTTTTCAGTATTTTGTTTTCTTCCTCTGTGACCACTGCAACATAAAAAAAAATAATCGCATCCCATGCTACATCTGATGCTAAATTCTTGAACAATCAGTCTTTTTACCTACATTAGTAAACCTAAAAGCATTAAATCACACCATGTGTCATAATTTTACAAGACCCAGAACTGTGCTCTGCTGTGCTCTTATTCTTCCATTATCAGTACAGAATCCCAGAGAAGCAGCTCTTGGGTCCAGCACCGCTAAATACTGCAACAAGAATTGATAGCAAGACAAGCAGCGAGTAGGGACCTAACCATTAGTAGGAAAATATGCCTGACAGTACTATTTGCTTATAATGTGTTGGATACCACTTTTTAGACAAGTCTCCCTGCATGCTTTATAACAGACATAGTACTTGAAATAACTAGGAGACAGAATTTATGACATGCTCTGTAGGTGATACGGATTACAAAAGGTCAGCCTTTATGCTTTGCTTATCACAGGTTCTGGTATTTCACTTTCCTGTTGTTTGAATAACTTCAGATTTAAAATGCACTATTTAGTCAATCTAAATCTTTGGCTTTTCTCAGCTCAATTGCCTCAGATTGTCAGAGGTCTGCAAAACGTCTAAAGCACAGTCAGCCTGGCCATGGCAGTGGTGGCTGCTTCATTCTGAGAAGAAATCACATCTCTTCAGTGTGACTCCTCCAATATTGGAAGCCCTTCTCAGTCCATAAGAACATTATAGGAAAGCCCTCTATACAACCAAATCACTGGAGAGCTGCCTCATTTAACCACCACTCTGGGAAGAAAGAGCAAGCTTCCCACTTCCCTGAAGAAATGCAGAGGTGCCCATCACTGGCTTAGTCCCACTTGCACCAGCTGGGACCTAAGAACTTGTGCCAGTCAAAAAAAGACAGTTGAAGTCTTTGAGTGCTGGCTGGCTAATTGCCCAATACCTGTTGCTCTGATTTGTCTTCCGATATTTTGTAAATGACAAACTCATTTCTTCCATCCAATTTATGCATCTATCCTAATGCATATTTCATTCCAAACACTTTCCTAAGCTTTCCAAGCTGTATTTTATAAAGTTACACCACAGTATAATTAACTTTTAGAAAAAAGTTAGTTCACACCTACCTTTTATTTTCTGGAGGAATAAGTTTTTTCCATTGTTTTACCAGGGTTTTAGCTACATTCCCAGCAGTGGCATGTTTCCTAAAACTGTTAACTGCTTTGCCTATGCCAGTTTCCTGTTGAAGACAGTGCCAGAAAGATGGGCAGAATAAATCACAACTATCATCCCAAGTAAAACCTTCTCTAAAACTGCTACAAAGACTATTAGCCTCGTAGTCAGAGAAGTCTTATGGCAGCTAAAGAAATAATAAATGCATTCTTCATACTGCAAACAGAACTGAATAAAAGGTTAAATATTTATAGCCAAATACGGGGAACAAAATCCAGTCTTAATTCATAAAACTAAGACAAGTCATTTTCCTCCATTAGATGTATGTACTTCAGGAATTTCATTTGGCTCAAATGCTTATGCCCACAAAATGCATACTGCACCCCAGTGAATTAGATTAATCAATTCAAATTCCCTTTAGGCTTATGCAGGTACATTTTAGCATGTTAGAGAGCACATGATGGATGTATTGTAATCTAAAATGCATCTCAACCAGGATTAGTATGGGATAGAGGGGTCAGAGGAGCAGAGTTCATACGACCAAACTCAGTCTCAGTTTCAGCCACAGGGGGAAAAACAAACAAATACACACTCTTGACATTTAAAACCTGTCATTTTCTGGTTTTCCCCAGTACAATTATTTTCACATTACCACTGTGCCTTCAAATCTTGCTCTAGTGAGTTCTACATTGTTTAAGCACAACTATCTTGCAGACTTGGAGTGTATATAACTATCATAGGTGATTTCTTTTTAATCCTGTATTATCAGTAAGTATCTTTGACTCATGAACTCTCACTTTTAAGATGCACACAAAACCTGGATTTCACTAGGTTAGCAGCAAACTGTTTATGCTCTTGCTAACTACTGAAATGATACTTCTGTGAAGTCTGAGCAAGAGCTATACATGTGCTACTCCCACATAATTGGCTCACACCTTAGAAAAGGCTTCCTTAATTTCACTTTAAGGAGATTTAGGTTCTATATAATTTTAGCAATACTGGTTTGGTAGGTCAGCATATTGCAAAATAGATGCAAGAAATCTGGTGGGATTATTTCCTAATGCTATTTATGTTCTTCAAATGCATTAAAAATACGTGGAGTCCTCAGTTGTAAGACATCTCTTTCCTCTATTTGACTTGAAGGCTTCTACACAAGTTTGTCACATTATAAAACATGCAAGTCTGCTGGCAACATTAATTGTCTGCAGAAGCCCTTTGTCATTTTAAACAACTAATTGCAATATGAGATTGTTTTGTTTTCCAGTAAAAATACATAAATATTGCTGTATTCCAGTAGAAGTCTACCTGTGTTTAGGCAGTCAAATGCCTTTTTGCCTGAATAGGCCAGCCAAATATCTTAATTATCGTATTTTTCTCTTACTTTTCAGAGAACTCTCACAAAAAACACATTTTTCTTCCCAAAATATAGACATATTGCTCATAATAACTAGAAGCTTCATAGACCAGTGTGAGAATTTCTAATATGAAATTTGATAGGATGCAGCTTGGATAAGAATACAAGTTACAAGTATCCTTACTCTATAACTTGGGATGCCTGCTCTTTAAATGCAAGAAACTAACCTTGAGCTGCTAATAAAAGACAGAAGATTTAGACAACTGACCTAAAGAATGGTTCACCCATATTTGCTTTGTCTTAAGCATTGACTTGAAAGCAGTTTTACAGTGAGAAGAAGCCAAGGCTGAACAGTGAAGTGTTCTCTATATGCCCAGATTCCTGCTCAGTACTATCACTGTTGGCATAATACTGTATTTGTCAAGTTGTATGCCCAACTTCTAGCTGGTTTTTGGAAAAGCCTCCATGGTTCCTTGTACAGAGCTCTAAACAAATCATGATTAAGAGTCAAAATTAGAAGCAGTGAATGTTGTTGCGTCTTGTATGATTGCAGAACCCTGACATTTACACAGTAATTCACTATGGAAGAGTTTAATGTATTATTGGTCACTTACCACTAGAATATCCAGCGATATATCCAAATCCTGTAGTACCTTAAGTGTTTTTATAATCTGAAAGGAAACATTAGATTATTTTTTTAAACAAATATTTGTAAGTTCTATTCTATTTTTCTCATCCTCATTCACATGTTTAATGCGAAAATACTCAATAGTATTAAGAGGAATATCCAGTAACTTCATGAAAATGTAAGCACTCCTTTATCGCACATCAGGGCTGTGCCTGAAGTGTGTGCTGTGAACCAGTACAGTTCTGCCAACCCCCCCAACTTCAGTAATACCAGAAAATCCAGTAGGTAAGAATTTACCACTACAGAGATTACATTAAAGATCAATAATACAGTAGTACAGGCTACATATATATGCCCACACTCCTCGTGTAGCAGTGACCCTCATTTGTCACAGAACCGATAGAAAAGCTGCACTATGCAGAACCAGCACCATGCAAAATGAGCAAGTCTCCCAGCAGGTCTCCCAGTCAGCAGCACCACTCCATCAGCCCAGGCCAAGAAAGAACAATAGAGCTGGTGGGAGCCCAGTTTGCAAAAAATAAGGTTTTGAAAACTTAACTGCAATTTGTACAGTAACAAAATGAACTCAAGCTAGAACAGCTGTTTTGTTTCGCACTGACAAAGTATACACCTGTTACAAAACTCAACATTTCCATCAAAGCAGGAAAGAATTTTTCAAATACAAGATGGCTCATCTTCCTATGAGAAGTGTTTTAGAAACACAGAAGTCCCATTTATAAGCGGAGTATAAATTTCTTTGGCAATAGGTATACAGCACCCCTGAGTCTTGCAGTTGACCACACACAAGCAATTTGCCTTACCTTTCACAAACTTCCATGAAGCTATGTAACATAGATGATAGAATTAATGTGGAACTGAAGTAACAGCATTTCTTAAGGCTTTCACAAAGCCTGGAATACTAATCAAGTTTAAGATCACTGCCACTTCTA